ATATATATATATAGAGAGAGAGAGGAAGGCTCATGTAAGAACCCTCCTCTATATAAGAACTCAATCTTATATAAGAACCAATTTCAACCATTTATTAGTTTTGATCCAACCATCTAAAACCATCCTTTAGTAATGGCATTTCTGTAATTCTTTTTTTATGTTTTAAATTTTTTTGCCTACTCTTATGTTCTAAATCTAGTCTACCTATTTTCTAAATTTTTTTTTTCTATGTTCCAAATTTAGTCTACTTATATACTAAAGTTTTTTTTTTTTTTTTTTTTTTTTTTTTTTTTTCTTCCTATGTTCTAAATTTTTCCAACCTATGTTCTAAAGTTTTTTTTCTTCTTCTTATGTTCTAAATATTCTTTTACCTATGTTCTAAATTCTTTTGCCTATGATCTAAATTCAGTCTACTTATGTTCTAAAGTTTTTTTTTCCTAAGTTCTAAATTTTTACTACCTATGTTCTAAAGTTTCTTTTTTTTTTGTTTACGTTCTAAATATTCTTTTACCTATATTCTAAATATTCTTTTATCTATGTTCAATTTTTTTTTTCTATGTTCTAAATTTAGTCTACTTATGTTCTAAAGTTTTTTTTTCTATGTTCTAAATTTAGTCTACTTATGTTCTAAAGTTTACAAATCAGAAATACTTTAGAACATTATAAAAATAATGTTTCAAATCAGGTTAATGTTTCAAATGATATTAATATTCCAAATGATACCCATGTTCAAAATAGTCATCTCCATATTTGTACAAAAAATGTACTATATATTGTTTTAAATATATGTCTAAAGATATAAACTTAAGATTTACACAATCATATATCAATTTTTGTTCAGCTTTGACCACTTTCTAGCCATCTTCATCACTCTTTTCCGTTCTTCATTTACTTCTGATGTTATAATCTTCCCACAATACTCCACTCATAACCTTTTCATTTGCTCAAACTGCAAACAAAAAAAATACAAACACGTTAAAATTAAAATACACATGTAATTCAGAATATAATAAAAAATACTTTAGAACATTCCCATGTAATTTAGAACATAATCAGATTAACTTTAGAACATAGACATCTAACTTACAACATAATCAGAATTACTTTAGAACATAATCAAGTAATTTAGAACATAATCAGATTAACTTTAGAACATAGACATTAAACTTAGAACATAATCATAATTACTTTAGAACATAATCTATCTAACTTAGAACATAATCATAATTACTTTAGAACATTATCAAGTAATTTAGAACATAATCAGATTAACTTTAGAACATAGACATTAAACTTAGAACATAATCATAATTACTTTAGAACATAATCAGATTAACTTTAGAACATAGACATCTAACTTATAACATAATCAGAATTGCTTTAGAACATAATCAAGTAATAATCGGATTAACTTTAGAACATAGACATTAAACTTAGAACATAATCATAATTACTTTAGAACATAATCAGATTAACTTTAGACCATAGACATCTAACTCATAACATAATCAGAATTACTTTAGAACATAATCAAGTAATTTAGAACATAATCAGATTAACTTTAGAACATAGACATTAAACTTAGAACATAATCATAATTACTTTAGAACATAATCAGATTTACTTTAGAACATAGACATTTAACTTAGAACATAATCAGAATTACTTTAGAACATAATCAGAATATGGAGATGTAATTAGAACCTAATCAATCATATGTCTTGACACGTACATTACCCTTCTCTAGCCCCGAATTTCATTGTTTTTGACATTGTCCTTCATAGGTTTCCATGTGCTTCAACAAAAATACTCCACAATCATGTTTGTTTGCATTGCTCTTCCATTTCATCTCAATGTTTCTTGTTTCGAAAGTGGACAAAACGACACTCTTGTTATCAATTTCTTCATAAAATTCACCAAATGCCTTCAACTACAAAATATATATAAATTAACCTTGAAGAAGATAGGAGGGGCAGTAGGCAGAGTAGAAGAGGCTGTAGTAATAGCCATAGCAGCAACAGATCTATTGTTCGAATACACATACTCAAAAAAAAAATTCAAAAATTGACATTAATTTGCAAAAATCGAACTAATTCGAACAAAAAAAAAATAATTGACAGATCAAATTTTTCGAACATAAATATTTCACAAAAATCAAACAAAAATAATTCACAAAAGTCGAACAAAATAATGAACAAAAATCGAACGACATAATGAACAAAAATTGATCGAAATAATGAACAAAAATCGAACAAAAATCATTCGCAAAAATCAAACAAAATAATTCGCAAAAATCGAACAAAATAATTCGCAAAGATTCGAACCCTAAATTTGCTAAACTCGAACTCAAAATAATCAAACTCCATACGAAAATTCCAACTCAAAAATCGCACAAAATAATACGCAAAAATCGACTCCTAAAAATCGCAAAAATAGAACCCTAAATCCGAACCCTAAAAATTGCAAAAATCACCAATTAAAACTGCAAATTCACTTGAACATCATGCTAATTTCATGAAAATTTGAACAAAATCGAAAAGAAAAACATACCTGAAGCGAAAATCCTTCAAATTGCAACTTCTATCAGATTTTTGGGGGTTTTAGGAGAGAGAAAATGAGAGAATCGGGAAGAAGGGAAAGAAAGTTAGAGGAGAGAGAAAAGGTTGGGAGGTGGGTAAGGGGGTTGAAAAAGTTGGACACGTGTTTTAATCTTAACCGTCTAAAACAACTTGATCCTACGGTTGAGATGGATTCTTATATATCTAGGGTTCTTATATATCTAGGGGTTCTTACCGGATCCCTCCCCTATATATATATATATATATATATATATATATATATATATATATATATATATATATATATATATATATATATATAGGGTTTAAGATACTTTAGGTATAAAAATAAACAATAATAATTATTAATTTAATTAATAACTAGAAAATATAAATTATTTATCTATAAATTATATTTTATATAATCAGAAAATATTCGGATATTACAGCTTGATCACGCCCTTTTTGCAGGTTTAAGGAAATTTGTACTTGAAATCACGCCTAATAAGATAATTAATAATTTGATTTAGGCTTAATATGATTTTAATTCAAGTGATCACCAATATTAGATTTAATTGTGCATTAATAATAATCAACCAACATAGATTAAACAAGATTAAGATTAATTTGATGTATGTATGTTGATCGAAAAGCACGCATGAATATCAATAAGAATCAAGTAGAGGCCTATTTAGGGCGGGTTTGGCTTCTCTAAGGTCAAATTCGTACCATCATCTCCGAACATCCAGTCATGGTTTCGGACCACTATGGAGTTAGCAAGCTCCGTAATTGTGAATGGGGTGTAACCTTCACATCCGTGAATGGTTTACAAGTTCCTAAAACTTGTTAGCGACTCTTTTTTCTCTAGCTTCTTTTCCTTAGAGCGCCGCCATACTTAAAAAATGACCCATATGTAGGGCGAGAGTTGAAAAAATTCCCTACATGCTCTCTTCATTATATTCTCTTATTTAGTCTCAGAATCATTTGTAGTTGAAAGGAAGTTAGCTCAATTAGTTGGAGTTTCCAAATCAAGTTGGGTATTTAGGTTAAGGATCGATCTTGTAAACTATATCTTTTCGATGGTCGTATTTAAAACATTGTTTGGCGAATCATATAAATCTCTATTTTTTCTTGTTTTCTTTGTTACTCTTTCTTGCATTTGAACAACAATTACATTGCTCCATCTCATTTTGGTCATACTTTCCATAATCTTTAAAATAGAAATAGAGGGAGTCAGATTTAGTGAAAGTTATGGATTAAGTAAAAAAAAAAGTTAATGTAGTGAAAAGTGAATATAAATAAAAATTAGTTTAACTGAGTAAAAATATAAGTTTAACCAAGTATAAGTAAGGTATGACAATATAAATTCAACAATCAACATAGATTAAACTTCGTGTATCATTAAGTAATAATTCATATTGGATTTAATTTTATTAAATTTTATATTTTACCACTCACAAATAACCCACTTTTTGAATTACCACCCTTTTTTTTTTATATTTTAAAATACCACCCAAAAAAACGAAAAAAAGAATAAGATTCACCACCAAAATTGTTAAATCTAACGATTTAAAAAAATTTGTTTGATTTTCGTGCCTAAAACATGCTCTTTAGAGGTTTTGGGGGTCATTTTTGCCCAAAGGATTCGATTTGAGGTCAAAATTGACAAATAATTATAAAAAATGCCTCATTTGCACGTGTCACGCAAACCAAGATATTTTTTAGTACGCAAAACGAGGCATTTTCAGTCATTCTTTTTTGTAAATTTTGACTTTAAATCGGATCTAAAGGGCAAAAATGACCCCTAAAACATCTAAAGACCATGTTTTTGTCACAAAAATCAAAGAATTTTTTTTAAAAACGTTAGATTTAACCTTTTTTTAGATGAAAAGTGCTAAATAGTGGTGAAACCTAATTTTTTTTTGTCTTTTTTTGGTGGTAATTTAAAATATTTTTATTTTTTTGTGGTAATTTTAAAAAGTGGGTTATTTGTGGGTGGTGAAATACAAATAACCTTAATTTTAAAAATAAAAGTATTTGGTCATTGTTGAAGAGATCAAGAAAAAACAAGAAAAATTAGAATTTTATGGAAAATTAAAATTCCAATTATAATAAGTGATAAAATGTGGCTTATGTAAGTTACCCACGTTCCTTTGTTAAGTCACAATTCTCATGTCAATTACTAAGAATGGTATATACACATATCCATCAAGCTAGATTCCATTTTGAAATACAAAAGTATAATGAAATTAGGCCTTGTTTGGTTGTACAAAGAAAGTGAGGGAAGTCAAAAACATGGGAATTTAAAAATTGTTGAGTTGTTTGGTTGATAATAAAATGTGTAAATGTAGGAATTACAAATTCAGAAAAATTGTGACTTTTCAAACTGTCAAAATTTCCATGATTTGCAACTAAGTTTATGCCAACCAAACAACTTAAGCCATTGCTATGCACCTACTCATATGCACCATGCGTATTATGCACTTGACCGTGTCGCCTAAATTATAAACCTAATTGCATTAATAGGATGCGTTTGAAAGTCAGAACCTCACTGCAGTTCCGCCGTCTTGTTTGCCGTCTTTCGTTGTACGAAAATGGAGACTGCTCTCTTCTCCCCTTCTTCCCTCTTCGGCAACACTTCTGACAATTCTTCTGGTACATCTCTCTTCACATCTAAGTACGTAGTAATTAATTTTTAATTTAACTTTTCTGACAAATTTTACCGCCATTTTTGCTTGAATAGATGAGGAACCCAATACCCAACAAAATTTTGTTGAAAGAACCCACCAATTTCCAGGAATGGTGAGTTCATTTCATCTATACCCAATTTAATTACATATTTTTCCCTAATAATTTTGTAATTTGCTTGTAGTTTATAATTGTTATAAATTTATAATGCAATGCAGTTCAGATTTGTAGAGATTCAAGTGTAAAACCATTTGATGTTTATTAGGAACAAATTTAAATCACTAATTTGGTAGCTAATTTGATCTGATTTCAGTTTTGTGTTGCTAGTTTGCTAAAATGAAAAGGCTAGTAAAAAAGAGCAGTTTTATTGAGCTTACTCACTGAAATATGGCATGTAAGTGGCTAATTGCTTCTATTTAGATCCCGGAAAGACGAATCTGATTCGAGAACAAGTTTATTTTTATAAGTATATTATGTATAAAGTAGTATTCCATCTGGTCTTCTATGTTCTACTCTGTATACGCAACGATAAAAAGAGCAAGCTAAAATAGAATAAAGCAAAGTATGTAGAATAAAAAGGAACTGGCTAAAGAGTTGAACATAAAAGAATAGAGGGAGTGCTTTTTTATGTTCAACTTTTCTTATTCGGTTATTCATTTAACATAAAAGAACGAAGGAAGTACATTAGATATATTGGAGTTTCCGTGATTTGTATCAAAACTATGATGTCTGTCATAATTGTCATTTAAGTGCTGTTATAAATTCTAAGACTCCTGGATGATAGCATTGTTCAAATTACTTCCTCCGTGGCTCTTTCCAGAATTAACCACTTCGTATAATACTGTTCAAATCCTGCATAATTAAGGATATTACCTGCAAAAGTTGAAAGAGCCTTGTAGTTAGGTCATTTCTCAAAATCATCTTCACTTTATATAAGCAGGGACATTTTAAAAAGCCCACTCATTAACGGTTACTATTTTAGAGAACTTGATTGTTATTTCCAGACATCTTGAAATTGTACATGAGACTATTGTTTCTTAGGAAGGATTAATTTGTAATGATGTGTGCAAGTATGACTATATTTAGTTCCTATGGAAGTAATAACAATCAATGACCCATAGGTGGTCGTTGAATCTTGCTATCTGAAACCCCTTTTTTCTTTTTATGCTCTTAACTTGGATGCATTTTTAACCAATAACTAGGAAAGGATTGAGCTTATTTTACATTGTGCTGATTGGTCACCTATTGGACAATTTTTGCAGGTTTTAAGTTAGGTTATAGTAAACTATATAAAAATTCTTGGTTAACAGCTTCTATATCTTATCAGCGGGTTACTAATGCTTTTTTTGAACTATACTATTTAGACTCAAGTACCTATGTTAGACAAAGTGTACTTATTCATGTTTGCTATTTTAAATTTTTTTTTTCATATTTTTGGTTCAATGTGTAGTATCAAGTGTTCATAGTCATGTAGTGTTAGAGACTTAAGAGTTCCAACATAGACTTGAGAAATGAAGAGTTTGAGTAACATTAATCTCTATCAATAGTCTTTAAAAGAGTTGTTCTAAATAGAGAAATGGCTCACCTTTATTTGTAACGGATAGGCTTTAAATCTCACGTCTTACTTCCTTTTTTTTGGTTGATGGGGTAGAATAGATTAATTATGTGTCAAAGTGACACTTAAATTACAAAAGTTCAGAGAAGTATCAGTAGCAGGAACTAAAAATAAATCGACATTACAATCAAAGTACATAGGATCAGTAGAGTAGCTAAAGAGGCTAGACAGGAGCTATCCCAGTCAGCAAAAACAGGAGAATTGAAGATCCAAAGAACATCAGGTCTCCAGGCATCGTTGAAATATATATCTCTGATCCTTTGCAAATCATTAATACCAGTGACAACATTTTTTGAGTAAGTAATCCAATTGTTTGCATTTAGACCAGGCAGCAGCATAAAGAATTGCTAAGTACTCAGCCATATTTGCATCCTCTGCATGAGTTTTACAAATGAATCCTCCTAGCCATATCTTAGCAGAGGAGTAACAGACATCCCCAATCCCCATTTCCAAAGTGGAAGGTTTAAGGCAACATCTACTTACACATTAGCTTGACTCAAAGAAAAGGGGGTTAACAGCTTAGCATTGGGGTCAAGAGGCAAGGAGATAGGTTGAGCATACTGGAACTCAGCAGATAGCCATTTGATACTTAACTAGTCTGATTGTATGCTATAGCCAACTGTTATATGTTTCTTAATTGACGAATTGGTTACAGTTGTCAGACGTATCACCGCAATGGAAAGTGCTTTAAAATCTGATGTGACTTAAATATTGACTGTTATGCCATGCCTTATGCCTCAAGCTCCTGTTTTCAGGGCTTTTGCATGTGAAGAGGAAACGGTCCATCTTTAATGTCTTATTCAACATCTTTAGTTTTGTGTTTCTTGCAATTGCAGGAGTTGATCGTTCGGGAATTCTCCTTCCACCAGCTGAATGGGAATTTGCTCTGGCCAGGTACATTTGCTTTTTCTGAATGTTTGGTCCAAAACCGGTCTATGATAGAAGGGAGGCATGTCATTGAATTGGGGAGGCATGTAATGTCCCTTTCTTCTAATTTCATGTATTATTTATTTTAATTGCAAACTTGGTCAAGATTGGAGCTGAGGTCTTATGTTAAGGCTTCTAAATCTGCATTATTGGTTTGGTGACGTACTCATTTTGAGTTTTGATAAATTGGAACAAAAAATTTCTGTTTAATCTTGAATATGTTATTCTCGGATCTCCATAACAAATAAAAGGCTAGTGTGCATCTAATGCGCAAACCATCTTTGTTATTTGGAATATGTTTTGTGCTACTTGTAAAACCGTTTTTTATTGTGGCGATGAATATTGGGCTTTTTACCCTCTTGTTTGTGCCCTAATAAGTTTGCAGAAACATATTCCATATTAATGTTGTTCTTCCTTTGTTTTTGATCTCTACCTGTCTTAAAGGCTTACCTCCCTCAGATCTTTGTCTCAGTGTGATGAATCAGCTATGATTTGAAATTTTACTCCATAGGCCGGTGTCAATAATTTCTGTTAAATTGCCCCGAGTCTGTTAGCAGCTTCTATTTATATTTTATACATATGCGTACTTTCTATCTTAGAGCAAAAGTGTAGTAGATTGGATTTTGCCAGTTGTCTATTAATACTCAACTTGAAAGAGAATGGTGACACAATTACAAAAAGTGTTACTGTAGAGATGAATACAATCAATTTGTTTGTATGAAGCTGATCTACTTCTTTGTTTGGAATTATCATATTTATGGGTTGATTCGGGCTAACGAGTTCTCAATTTCTCATTCATTGATGGCAGTGGAACTGGCGCTTTGGCTATCTTTCTGAAAAAACTGTTACAAATTGATGTTACAACGTCTGATTATGATGATCAAGAAATTGAGGATAATATAACTTATAATTGCAAAATCAACCGAGTTGTCCCTGCCCTTCCTCATGTCAAGCGTGAGTTACTTAAATCCTCAAAAGACCTCCATGTTTCCGTCTTGATTTCTAAATGTCATAATAAAGCCTTTATATTGTGAACGAATTTCTGCAACCTTGATTTGGGATTATGTTACTTTTATTGCTTGGGAATTTTATGTGGCCAAATCTGTGAATACAGCTTTCAGTTTTTTTAGCATTCACTTGGAAATATCTTATTCACAACATACCCCTAACTTTTCATATCTCATCGTATATCCCTTAATTTTGCTAGAATTGTGCCATATGCCTTTCATGACCAAACAACCCCTAATTAACAACAATTTTTCTTTTTTGAAATTTTTTTTGTGCCTTTTCTCCTCCCCTTCTTAGCTCTAATTAACCTTTTACTTATTCTAACTCTTCCTTATCTTTCCCATTAGCCTTTAATTAGCTCTTTACCTAGTTAGTTTTTTTTGAGTTGATTCGCATTCGTTGAGTAAATTAATGATTGAACGAGTTAAGTAGGGTTTTATAGTAGACATAAGAAAGATTTAGAATAAATAGAAGTTGGGTGGTATACATTGAATAAGTTAAAAAAATCAAGGCTAAATGTGAAAATTCTGTATGTGAATTCAATCATTCATATTCAAGCTATTGAGTGATTAGTGATAACAAGGTGCTGCTTGTTTTCAGATACATGGGGTGACGCCTTTTCAAATGGCAATTCAAATTGGGATCTGATAATTGCAAGTGATATCTTATTATGTAAGTATGCGATCTCTTACAAAGTTAATTTTTATATTAAATACTTTGTATTAATTAATAAAATACTGGGTTTTTAAAAATTTGTTTTTATATTTTTTCAATGGAACATTAGCATGTTAATGTCCTAATATGATTGAATGCGTCCTCTTATATTAAGTAATTTTAATCAAGAAGTAGGATACAGTTTACCTTTGAAATTATTAGTTATTCCTATCCCAAATTAATTTCCAGTTTTCCACTATTGACATTTTTAGGGTATAAAATTTGACTGCACTTTTTAACTAATATACTACATACAAGGAATACGTTATAAGGTGTGGTCTTGTAAGGGGAGAGAGAAACTGGATTAGGTTTTTTTTTTGGTAATGCCAATCTCTCTTCTTCTTCTGCTGCTTGAATGCCTTAATCCCATTATAAGGGTTGGCTACATGAACCAACATGAGGCCTTCCTAAGAGGTCACCAATCCTATACTAGTGGCTCATGTCAAGTGATGTGACAAAGTTTTACACTAGCTGGCCTACCGTAACCCTCCTCCTTTATCCAGGCTTGAAACTGGGCAGTGGGTTTGACCGAGTTGGTAAATGCCAATCTCTATCCTCCCAAAACCCTTCCTCTCCACCCCTCACCATCTTTCACCTCCACCACTTCATTCCCTTCACTCCTCTCTGTCCCTATCAAAGCCTCTGTCGTCACCACTGCCACTTCATTCCCAATAATACTCATAAACCACACTATTAAATCAATGAAGGCGAAGTGTCATTGACAAGATGACAACCTTTGAAATCCTACCAACAAACGCGGCGATGGCCGACAACTATCTCTATCACTCTGTTGTGGTGTGTCTAAAATTTCTGATTTTTATTTGTCTTCTAGGTCAAATTTGACCCACTAAAGCCATAAACTCTCTTCCTTACTCTTGGGCTCTCAGCAATGGCAGGCAATGAATGGATGGAGTTGTCAAAGATATGGATTTGATTGTAAAAATTACTAAATGAATTTGATCATCTAGATTTAACTTTGTTTGCATTGTTGAATTGTAAACTATAGTTATTAGTTATAGTTTTTTGTTATTAGTTGTAGATTTTGGACAAATTGTTATGTTTTAATTAATAATAGTTGAGATTCAGTTCAATAATTATGATTTTTATAGTTAGAGTGTTTGGTTATTAATTATGATTTTGTTAATTAGTTGTGATATTCGGGTAAATAGCTATGGTTTTATGTTAATAATTTGCGTATTTGGCTATCTAGTTATAATTTTAGGGGCTAATAGTTAATTAGGTATGGTTTTTGGTTATTAGTTATAGTTTTCGGGTTAATAGTTATGGTTTTAAATGAATAATTTTAGTACTTCCTCCATTTTTTAATACTTGCAACACACTTTTCCACGGGATTTAGAAAAGTGGCCTCACATGATCTGATACACGTATAATAGGTGTGAGAGAATGTTAGGAGTGTAATTTAGTGGGCAATGAGCTTTAAATAAGGGCAATAGTAGACTTTCTATAAAAAAATAACTTTCCAATAGAAGTGTCACAATTATGACAAAATGGAGGAAGTATCCGTTATGATTTTGGCTTAACAGTTATAGTATTTGGGTCAATAGTTTTGAATAATAGATTAATACTTATGGTTTTTAAGTTATTAGTTATTAGTTATGTTTTATGTCATAAGTTATGATTTTCAGGTTAATAGTCGTTTTTTTTTTGGATAATAGTTATGGTTTTTGAGGTTGCTCGTTATGATTTTTGGGTTAATAGTTATGGTTTTGAATAAGTAGCGATAGTATTAGTTTTGATTATGGCTTAATAGTTATTGTATCTAGGTTTATAATTATGAATTTTGAGTTAATAGTTAATGTTTTTATACACGGCAGCCTAACAGTATGTTACTCGTATATACAACCACGTGTAGGGTCCAAGATTTATGTGGAGGTTCTTTTTTTTTTTTTTCTTTTTTTTTAATTCTTATTAACCCTTATTTGAACCTTATTTATACCTGTATGAACTTCTTAAACCTTATTTTAACTCCTTAACCATTATTTGAAGTTTTGAACAAACATGAACTTTTAAATGTGAATTTTTTTTAAGCTGAAGCCTTGATGTGTAGAGTAAAATCAACAATAATAGGAAGATTAAAACGCAAAGAACACACACAAATTATACGTGGAAAATCCCTTCGATGTGAAGAGTAAAAACCACGGGATCGCTTTTGAAGTTCACCCTAAACTTCTTTTATTGATAATTGTGGGTAAAAATAAATCCTATTCAATCTACAAAAGGTTCATATACCACCAACAACAATAACATTAAGAGATGAACAATTGAGAGACAAAAGATGTAGAAATCGCCAAAATGAAGGCTTTTGTCCAGCAGCGATTCGCCCGATCTAATTGTTCAAATAGAGGCCTGATGTGTCCTCTGACAATTTAGTACGATACAATGGTCGAAATTTCGGCAACGAATAGTTTGCTGAAAACCCAAATGGAGAAGCTCAACCCTTGGTTCTTTCTCTCTTTATCTTTTCTGATCTTGTGATTAACATTACAAAATCGAAAAATACCACAAAAAAATCAAAACCAGTAGATCTACATATTTAATCAGAATTTCATAAAAAAAATTAAAAAAAAAAAACGATAATTAAACAACAAAATTAAAGGAAATATATAAATATACAATTATCTAATAAAATTTATAAATTAACATTACAATTACATAAAAAATCAACTAGATCTATAATCTAACCTAAATTAAAACTAGATTAACAAAACAAAAACCTTGAGAGTGGGTGGCTCGCAATGGTGGTTGTCGGCTTTGTTGTTGTTGCGCCATTGTTGTTGGTGTTTCTTCGTTGTTGTTTTGGTTGATGTTGGTGGTGGACGGAGAGAGAAGAGGAGGACATTGTAGCATTGTTGTTGACGGTGCTTGATGTTGGTGGTGGACGGAGAGAGAAGAGGAGGATATGGAGAGAGAAGAGAAAGAAGACAAGAGAAAGAGGAGGGAGAAGGAGAAAGAAGATCGAGAAAGAGGAGGGAGGAGGAGTAAAGGAGAGATCGAGAAGAAGAGGAAAGAGAAGAGAAGAGAAGAGAAGAGGAGAGGAGAGTGAAAGAGAAGGAGAAAGGGGAAAGAAGAGGCGGAAATGAGGGCGGGGGGGTTGGTTGTTTTAGGGTTTGTTTGTTTTTTTTCTTTTTTTTTAAATTAGATTTCGACGGAAAAATCTGTCGGAAATTTAGTGTTCCGACGGAAAATTAGAACGGCTTATCTGAAATGTCGTGGCGTGACAATAAATCACTGTCCTAAAGTCGAATTTGCCCCGCACAGTACTCACAGACTCGTAGCAACCGACCTCTAGGAATACACGACTCTAACTCTACATACAGTGTACGACGAATAGCTAGATTGAGAACACTTTGAACATTGCCCAACAACTAGAGACTATAATATTGTGTATCATTTTTGGAGTAAGGAATATAGTAGAATGTAATAATTTTTTGTGTGTCCAAATGAAGTACAAAGGCCTCGTTTTTATACTACTCAAAAATCATGAAAATTTGGAAGGAATTACAAGCTCACGGAAATCAAGTTCAAAGGATCATTTTGCTCCTATAATCAAGTGATATCTATGCATGCATTTAGCTAATTACCTCCCATATCAATTGATTGATCAAATCATCAATATTATGAACCCACCCAAACTCACGGCAACATGCATGCTCCTAAGACAATGAGAATCAATATTCCTGCCATTAATTTGCATGTCAATCAATGAGCCTTCCAAGTATAGTATCAATTTATGAAACGGCTAGGAGGAAATTGAGATGATAAAGTCAACTAATTGATATGTGATACCAATTTAGGCAATCAAGAAAAGATGATTTTTGATTTTTTGAAGCAACAACAAAGAATTGGAGTAGTATTATGGGGATTGATTAATGAATAACTCCAACATAGGGCTAGTTGTTTATATATATATATTTTAATTTATTTATTTCTTTTTTTTTTTTGGGAGTTGTTCATAAAATAGACTTTTTATGGAGTAATTTTGGATAAATTTCCTAAAAGGTTTGAAAGAGGAAATTAACTAGAGGGTTTTTAGGAGAATGACTTATGAGAGTATTAAATGCAATGTTTTTTTTTTTAATACTCCGTATTTTAATTTGTTGGGAATCTAAACATGGTCAATTGGAGGGATTTAATAAGTTTAGCGGTTAATTTTGTCATGGGGAATGGGAGGATATGCTGAGGAAGAAGACTTTCCTTATTTTGTGGGTTATAAATCAGGCCCTGAAATTTGGGGCCTTTAATTAAACAAGCTCTTAATAAAAAATTATACTTTCAGAATTACACCAATTGTTGTGCCACGTTGTATGTACATTAGTTCTCATTAAAATCCAGTCAAGCTCGTGACTGGGCCCATGTGAGCAAGATCGTAAAAGTATTTGATTCTCCAATCTGGTCAGTAGCAAACTAGCAATTGGCTGGAAAATTGGCAATTCATATCTTAATGTTGTCGTATGTGCATCAGATATCTAAGCCCTCGTGTTCCTCGAGTTTGGATGTGTAACCAAGTACAAGTATATAATAAGTCATCTTTTTCTATAGTTTGAGACCACCAAATAATTATAACTAAAGATCAGATGATGATCATTTTCGAGAGCCAAAGTTTGATTGCGAATGCACTTGGTGTTTTGTTGTGCATTGTGGTATTGAGATGGCTATGGAAAGTAATAAACTTTGTTTGGTTTACGCCCAAAAGTTTAGAGAAATCGCTTCAACAACAAGGTCTTGTTGGAAACTCGTACCGGTTTTTGATCGGTGACATGAAGGAAGCCTCGCAATTGCGTAGTGAAGCTATGGTGAAACCCATTCCTTTTACTCATGATTATTACCATCGTATTCAACCCTTACTCCATCGACTTCTCACCAAATCCGGTATTTTTTTTATTTTTTATTTTTTGAACTTATTTATTTGGTGCACCTTAGCTTTTGAGTGAGTTTGTTCTATTATGCATGTTGTATTTGAGCTGTTTGTAATTCAATGTCTTGTATGTTATGATCCTAATATAGTTGAATGACATTGGAACGTGCACAAGAGACCTTAATCGATCAACAATGCATAAATGCAGGTTCAAAAAACTGTTTCAGTTGGATGGGCCCTGTGCCAACAATACTTATTACACAGTCTGAGCAAATAAAGGACGGATTCAATAGGATGAACGAATTCCGAAAACCTAAATTAAATCCACTTATTCAAACATTTTCGACTGGACTTGTAAATTATGAAGGCCATCAATGGGCTAAACACAGGAAAATTCTCAACCCTGCATTTCATCTCGATAAGCTAAAAGTATTACTCCCTTCATCTCAATATCAAGTGCTTATTTCTGTTTTTTTTTTTTTTTTTTTTTTGTTATGTTCAATTATTCGAGTGAAAATTCGTCAGCGGGGAGCTTTTATTGTTTTTGAGGCGTCTATCTAAGATACCAAATTAGGGTTTTAAAGGAATAAAGGGAGTTTAAACAGTAATCACCAATATGAAAATAAAAGATGATTTTTACCATTTCAGTTTAAGTTAGTTCATCAAAATTTAGGTTAGTTTTGCCAAATCTAGTTATGTTCGGGATATACTACAAAAAGTCTTGCGTGGACCTAGTCCACAGTAATATTATTGTGAACCCGAGATTATACGCAAGCAAACTGACGTTATATGGAACATAATGATCCTAATTTTAACATAGTAACCTTATTTTCAATATTGTAACATTTATTAAAACTTGTGTGACATTTATATTATTGTAAACCTAAAGTATGCTGTATATTAAACATATTGACCCTAATTTTAATATAGTAACCTTTATTATTTATATTGACCACTATATATTACATACTTCGTATAGTACATATGTAGGGTGATTATAAGTCTAAACTATACGTGATATATGGAAACTACAATACATAACATCTGAGCTTGGTTTTAATCCGATTTACTTCACTCTACTCGTGCAGCTTATGCTCCCAGCATTTGAAACCAGCGTCATTGAAACACTAAACAACTGGGAGAAGATAGTTTCTAAAACAGGTTCTTCAGAATTAGATGTGTGGCCGCATTTTACCAAATTAACTGCAGACGCCATCTCTCGAGCTGCGTTTGGCAGTAGCTTTGATGACGGAAGAAGGATATTTGAACTTCTCACAGAGCAAAAGGAACTTATTATTCGTCTTATCAAATATTCTTATATCCCAGGATGGAAGTAAGTTACATTTATTCTCAATTTTCATTTACCTTTCAAGGGTTGAAACTTGTAACATTTTGATAAAATTAAGCTTTTTATTAACGACATTAGAGACTATATAAATTATGGCTAGATATTAATATTTGATCATATATATGCGTTCACTAGATATATTCCAACAAAAGGCAAGAAGAGGATGGATGAAATGAATGCCGAAATAAAAACTCTATTGAAGACAGTTATCAATACAAGAAAGAATGCAATGGAAGCCGGAGAACTTGCCAAAGATGACTTGTTGGGGATACTCTTGGATTCAAATTCTAAAGAGGCTAAACAATTGAGTGAGAGGGAGAGTGAAACTAGTAGTAAGAAGCGTCTTGATCTTGCAATGAGCTTCCAAGAGGTGATCGACGAGTGCAAGTTATTCTTCTTAGCTGGCCAAGAGACTACCTCAGTGTTGCTAGCATGGACAGTTACTTTGTTAGGAAAGCACCAAGAATGGCAAACACGAGCTCGTGAAGAGGTTCTTGCTACGTTTGGCATGAAGCGCCCTGACTTTGATGGCTTAAATAGTCGTTTAAAGATAGTAAGACTTTTCATTTGTTCCTCAAGCCTATTTGACACTTTTAATTGTTCACGTCTTCAATCTTATGCATTTTCCTTTATTTCACTAACACTAAAATTTCTACCCATCCTCACAAATTGGTAGAAAAAGTATTAGTGAATGCTAATACATAGATTACTTACGTACTTAATTTGTTTGTGATTGCTCTTATTAGGTGACAATGATATTGTATGAGGTACTAAGGTTGTATCCGTCTATCGTTGCTACTTCAAGAAAGGTGTACGATTGTGAAACAAAATTAGGAGATTTGGTTATACCACCCGGGGTGGCAATTTCTTTTTCAATACTCCATGCTCATTTGGACCCCGAAGTTTGGGGTAATGATGTCAAAGAATTCAAACCAGATAGATTTTCAGAAGGGATTTCAAAGGCAACTAAGGGAATTAATTCGTACTTCCCCTTTGGTTGGGGACCTCGGATTTGTATTGGTCAAAGTTTTGCCCTGATTGAGGCTAAAATGGCATTGTCTATGATTTTGCAACGCTTCTCTTTTGAAATCTCGCCATCGTACACCCATGCTCCTTCAACTTTTATAGCTCTTCAACCCCAACATGGTGTCCCCGTTATCTTACATAAACTTTAAGCTTGTATGTAGTATTTTGTGTTTATTCCATTAGGTTATTGAAAGCTATGCATTTCACCTTGTAATTTGGTTTCAAAATCAGATCAGCTTGAATGTGGTACTTGCTAGGTTTCAATTTTAACCTATAAATTTGTGATGGTTATACACTCGCTCTTGCTAGTGACAATCCTACATTAACATATTTGAGTATTATTATTTGAATTGGCTATTAGATCTCTTAGCTTGGAGAAGAAGAATTCCAAAGAAAGGTGTTGATTTTAAGTGTAAAGTTAGCTAATGTACGTTGGAAATATCTCCTTTATTCAACCAAGGTTTATTTACTCTATTAATAATTTATAGGATCAATCACCGATCACAACAACCAATTTGCATTATAACTTATTTAAATGAGTATATTTATATGTATCTTGGTAACGAAAGTACTCGGAGTGTTTAACCCTTTAAAATAGTTATTAAAATGGTATTAATTTGGAAATGCATGCCAAAATCACGCATTGATCGGTGTAGTTAATGTTTATTTTAAGTTAATCTTTCTATTTTTAGTTAGCTTATCCAACGCCCCGATGACGTTCGTTAGCTTTAGCCTATTAATATTTGTGTTCAAGCTCATTTATTTAACATGCTC